AATTTCTTAAGACCTAATACAATACGGGCAGCGAAGTTTTGCACTAGCTGAAGCTTCTTTATATTTCTTTGACAAGTGTTGGCCCATACAGTTGAACAATAATACATTGTACTAAAAACAAAAGCGTTCATCAAAAGTAAGAGAGTTTTCCTGTCCAAAAGGTGTTTGATCCTGCTGATCTGTACTAGTTTGAAAATACAGTTAGAAGTAGTTTTAGCAATATGATCGTTGTATGTTAAGGACTGGTCGATGTAGACTCCAAGGTCCTTTGCTACAGGGACTGGTGTTATTTCCTTTCCCAAGAGTGAAATTGACATTGGAGGCAATTTCCGCAGTAGTTGAGAAACACCAACTAGTAAGATTTTAGTTTTAGCTGGGTTTATGAGAAGGGAATTCTGACAGCACCATCAGCAGATTTCACTCAAGTCTTCATTCAGATAGCCAAATATGCGAGCAAAAGGATAGGTATAATTTACAGGCATCGACATTGCACACAGACTTGCAGTGGGTTGGAACGGACAAGAGATCATTTACATAGATGGTAAATAACACGGGCCCCAGGATAGAACCCTGAGGAACTCCGTATTTAAGAGGGAGCGGGTCTGAGATAGCATCCCCAATGCGCACTCTCTGGCTACGACCAGACAGGTAATTATGAAACAGACAGGTTATTACACTGTACATGGATCAATGTCAGGGACAGAGGAAAATTAATACACACTTACCCCTCCCCTGACCCAACATTAACCCTTGCTTACTATCAGTTGACTAGTTTTGGGTTAGGGGAGGGGTGGGTAGTCAGGTACTGTCATTAGTCCCTGTGGATTTCTAATAATGGGTCGCCAACTTTTATCTATCATCAACAGTATGAATCACTTACCAAAGGGTGAGTAGCCGTGAACACTGTCGTCTGCATTAATGATCAATTTGGTCCATTTAGTGAAAACAAAACCATAACAATTTGCGATGCGACAAGTGTAATATCCTCCATCGCTTTCACTGGCACTCTTGAACTGTAATGTATTTTCTGTTTTGCCTTGAAGAAGTTCTCTTTTTTTAAACCACTGATAGTGAAGTGGTTGGTGTCCTGATGCTTCACAGTGTATATAAACATTCTGTCCTGGAATTCCTCGTATTTCTGTTTCAACATCTTGAGTTACAGTTGGAGAAAGTGCTACAAGATCAAACCACAAACAAAATAAAATCATCAACTACAGAACACAAATTATTTGTTTGCAGTAATAATTACAAATACTGATTGCTAGTGATTTTTTTTTTATTGCAGTACTCCCTACTTGTGCATGCACGTATAGCCATGCTCACCCAACTGCAGCTCGGTAATCTCTTATGAGAGACTGCTGTAATTTCATTGGGAGGGGGGGGGTTCAGTGTGTGAGCCACACAATAACTAACTTGTTAACTCAGCTGGGACACTGTCACAATGTCACATGGGAGGTGGAGGGTATGAGCCCCACACTGGATTTCTCGACTACCTCAACTGGGAGACTCCCACAATTTCAAAGAGATCTAGGTGGAGGGTATGAGCTGTACAACAACTTACTTCATCTTGGTAAGACTAACTGGGAGACTGCCAGAGTCATGTGGAAGGTGGAGGGTATGATTATCTCACTGGATTACCATTAAATCTTTCAGCTTGAGGGGCATGTGCTTCTTTTTGTGGTATCATCTGACAAAGTTTAAACACTATAGTCCTATTGGATATTAAGGACTATCACCTGATGACCCCTGCATCTTGAGCGTAACCTGGTTTGTAGGGAATGTTCAAAAACCCACCCACAAGCAAAAAATAGGTCACTGTCACAGTGTTATTAAAGCAGCAGAGAGAAATTGTTAAAGCTACTCTAAAAATGCAAAGGTAAATATCCAGTATCTTCCTCTATTCTGTGGTCTCTTACAACTTTGTTGAAGTTATAAATTGTTATCAAAAGAGCAACTTAAAAAAATGCAAAAACCTTCTGAATCATTTTGGCCACAAGCTGATATAAACATTAATAGGTAACACTAATAACATATCATTCTGCTTAAAATTAACATAATTATTATAATTGGTATTTAATAAAAAACAGATAACTCACTTAGTAAACTAACTACTTTTTGTAGGCGTGGTGCTCCTTCACTCTTGGACCCGATCCAGCTTTTGAACTCTCCTACAGTTATGTGCAATTGTCCCAAGTCATGCAAAAGTTTAAGAGTTGGGCTTCCTCCTGGGGACAAAGTTGCCATTCCAATAGCATAAACTTGACGTGGATCTTTATATGATGGTATATGGTGCCTTATGACATCTTGAACGAGTGATCTCCAATTGGGCAGTTCAGAGGAATCCAATATTACTGCTATCTGCTTTTTTCTATCATCAGGCAAATCTGTGATGCACCTTGAATCCATTGTAAGGTAGTGTGATTGATTAATCTGTTTGTGCTTTGTAGGCTGGATGATCTGCTGGATTGAAAGGACAAATGTAAAGTCTCGTGCTCCCAATCTCTAGCCTAGCAGGGTAGAGGGAGGGGTCCCACAAACTAACAATTTCTCTTAACCCTTTATCCCCAGGAGTGATCAACTTGTAACATCTCCTTACATTTCCAACATGTTAACTTATAAACAGGTTACAAGAAGACACAAGCTTATCAGCTGGGGGATGTTATGTTGATGTAAAATCAAATTTCCGTGTCTAATTTACAAGGAGTTGTAAGGGAGTCAGTAGGGAGAGATGCTAATTTGGATCTTGGGGACTTAAAGGGTTAAACAGGGTCAGGGTTCTAATGCCTTGGCAGTGAACCCCATCAAAGACTTCCCTGAAATACCCTTTCTTAGGTATCTCATCAAAAGGGTAAACCCAGAGCCAGGTCATTTTCAAATTCCCCTTCCCTCTAGGGAAGCCTGATATGGCTTTCTAATCATAACAAAACGAGACCCACTGAATGAGCTTATTTTAAAACATTATTTCGCGGCTACTTATATCGAAAAAACTTTCCCAACATCTCTGCAAAAATCATTCTTTCATTAGATGCTAAGCCACGACCCTCTAGAGAGATCATCTCACTGTCTGACACGCGGTAACAAAATACCATATTAAGCTACTTGACTGTACGTCTATAATGTCAATAAACAAAACGGTTTTTTTTTACACAACATAATTTCCGACAAACACAACTGACTTTGTTCACAACTTAACTTTCCATCTGAAATTTTCCTCACCCTTTAGCAGGAAAAATACTCTGTAAGGTATTTATAAAGTCATAAACGTGACCTAACCAACAGTCTCGCGTCCAACTTTTGCTGATGCATGATAACATTATATTTGTATTGATCGATTTTGAGAACATTTTAGCGACAAAAAATTTTATACCCTGAGAAATACTCACCAGATCTTGAAGCTGAAATTTCTCGAAAACACCACTGAGTCCGCTATTTCAAGACGCTTTAGCCTCCAGATTCTTTGTACTTCTATCACCAGTCTAAGCTTTCTTGGAGTCAAAGTGAAATATTCGTTTTGTACTGGTTGTACGGCGCCGTCGTTTGACAGTCGATTCACCATGCGCTTCAATGTCTTGCAAATGCCCTCAGGGAAAAATTACCTGGCATGCTTTCAAGCAGTACCTTGAGGGTCCTTTCGATAAAGATAAAGATAATTTTAGAACCATTACATTTGACTAAATCAGATTTCCCGGACAAATCTAATGATTTCCTGTTCTCGATCGTTCTTCCCAATCTCTCCCGGTTCACGTGAGCCCGCTATACTTTCCTCTTACTTTTTCTTCCGCGAGGGGAGGGTAGGGATACCATTGCTTCTTCCCGCCTTTTATCATTAAAGGGAGCAAAGCCAAGTTTCTCAAGATTTCACATATCTTTGATGGAACTTTAAGTATCTGGTATGTTCTTTAGGCCAATCGAGGCAACTAGAATGAAGCACAAATCCTTTTTTACGTGGTTGTTAATTTGGGTCCAGACTCCATATTCCCAAGTATACCCCGACTGGACTACTTCTTACGACTTCCGGCTTTTCTGAGAAGAGTCGAAACAGAAACACACTTGAAGGGTCTTTACCATTACTTTTATACTCCTCCTCGTGGAAAAATTACGTCGTATTTCCTTTTAAAAAAGACGATCAAGCGCTTTAGGCTTTCATTTAGTGCGTTCGTCTTCGCCTTCCATGTGAACGTGGGTGTTTGGTTCCAAGTGACGTTCCATTCATCATACTGGGGGCGCTTACTTCTTCCTGTGTACAAATTACCCGCTTTACACGCCGTCATCAACACGCATCGACTTCCAAAATAACGTTATAGCTTGGAGTTTCTTTAAGGTGAGCTTTAAGTCGATAAAGAATCGAAATGTGTTTCGAAATGAGAATGCAGGTCTGCTATACGTTGAATTTTCTTTCTTACTGCTTCTTGCTTATACCGGAACAAGCAACTTACATTTCATCTGTCACGTCGCCATCGTAATGGAGTGCACTTTTCTGGAGTGTTCTCGAGTTAGGATTTGATAGAGAGTGTAATGCACGGGTCACACTAAATATACTAAGTTGCTGAGATTAAAGGTCTTCCTCCTTCCAAATCTTAAGATACTTTGCAAACACAAGAAAACGTATTTGTCATGCATATAAAGTACACGTTATAGTATATTTGGAGCTCGATCTTGAGGTGACTGCGTTTCCTTTGGTTAAATTGAATTGTAGGCTGATTTTCTGAATGGTTCATGCTCCACTTAAGAAAAAATCTGGAAATCTTAGAAGAATAGATTCTGTTTAAATGATTAAGAATAAGGTATTCTTGAACAAAAACAATGGATAGTGCATGATATGTCAGTTTCAAAGAGACAAAATCAGGGTGTCATGAGCTTTTAATAGAAATAACTGTTTTGTTAGCCAAAGAAAAGAAAAGATCTGTTGTCATTACTTGATGACATCTACGTGGAAATCTAGTTTGGTGAAGTCACTGTGCGAAGGGTGCATCAATTAGGCTCTCTATAGCTATGTCTCTTTAATCCATTTCGTAGTGAATATGCGTTCGAATTTCCATGAATATTAACCCGGGAATTTTTTTGGAACACAAATTAAAGGATTTAGAGGTCATCTATCGAGTTTCTTTTATACATAATATGAAAGCAGTAGAACTCATTTACTCACATAAGATTTGTCACCCTATCCATTCAGAGGTAATGGCTCAGTGAGCCAGGAGAATGGTGGAAATTTGGAAGGAGATGAAGGTAAAGGCGTTGCCTTGTGGCAAGGAGGTTGATCGAGCTTTCAAAGTTTCCTAACCTGCCTAAGGGAGGTTAATTGTAGAAATCAAAGAAGAAATCCAACATAGTGCAAATATTTCCTCATTTATTTAATCTGAATCACTTTCACCCATTGGTATGTACAAGGTTGTATCTCTACCCCCTTGACATACAGCTGACACTTGAAATAGTGAAGCCTAGTTAGTACTGTTATCACTGAATTATGTGAATTACCATATATACCCGTGAATAGGCCACACTTTTTTGACAAAAAACCACCTTGAAAGTTTGCAGTGGGCCTACTGGTACATGTGAGTACAACAGTTCAGAGCTCATTAATATGCAAAGTTACCCAACACAATAATCAACAAACTTCCTAACTTATTCATAGTTTTATTCAATAAGCACCAACAGCAAACTTGTCATCTTCATTAGAAAGTATCCAATCAGTTGACAAGGTATGCCAATTGTGGGTTTCCAGGGGTTTCTATACATATATCCTCATATATCGCTTTCCATTTTATAGCTGCAAGTTGTTGTTCCACCCATTTTCTGGTTACTTTTGGCCTGTGCAACAGCTGAATCCTTGAATCACAAACAACACAAGAAATGTTCTTGATAACATTTGCTCTATTCTCTTTGCATGTAGAGGGGTTCATTTCTTTCAATACAACTAACCTAGTATGTAACCATGGTAACTTGCATGTTGCACCTTGTCAAAGAATGAGAGCAGCCAAGTCAAGCTCATTTTCCAAGAAATCATAAAACCAAAAGCACCAACAAGACCTCAGAGATTGATGAAAGCAAATATCGGGGTATTTTTGGAAACAGTGACAATGAAAGGGACTTTGAAGGGTTGTAGTTTCTAGATAGTGGAACAGTACTCCTTTGTAAATATTTCTGACTTTCTGCAAATGTCCCCACCTACTCAAGAAGATGGTTTTTTCTTAGAGAAGTTGTTTTGTTGTCAAATGAGAAATTAGAAAAAGGTATGGTATGTAACCATGGTAACCACATGTTGCATGTTGTCAAAGAATGAAAGCAGGCAAGTCAAGCTCCTTTTCCAAATAAATAATGATACCAAAATCATCAACAAGACCACAGAGATTGATGAAAGTGAATCTCGAGGTATTTTTGGAAACAGTGACAATGAGAAAGGGATTTTGAGGGATTCTAGTTTTTAGATGGTGGAATGGTGATCCTTTCCAGTTTTCTGCAAACGTTCCCACTTACCCAAGACAGTTTTCTTTCTTAGAGAAGTCTTTTTGTTGTCAAATGAGAAATTGCAAAAAGAAAGAGTTGTGTCAACTTTTTGGCTTGATTGTGCTTTGTTACTGGCAACACTTTTTTTCCTGAGATTGGGTCAATAGTTCATAGTGCAGCCTAGACATGGGTGTGGCCTATACATGTTATGCTGGAAGCCAGTCAATTATTTACAAGTGAGAAATCAGGAAAGCTAAAAATCCAGATCTGACAATTGTTTATTACTAATCTGATTGATCTAAACTGATAGGAAATTGATTTTGATCGACAATGGCTTACAAGAACAAGCAAATAAGAGAGTTACCTTATGGTGTTCTTTACAAACTGGCAAAACTGCTAGACATACCTGGACCAACAAACTGGAAAGCGCTTATTGGTGTCATGCCAAGTAATGCGTATAAACCTGAAGATGTAAGTATAATTTATTCTTACTAGAAATCTTGAGAGGGTCCTTTGTCAAGAAAGGGACCCAAGATAGATGTATAGTGTTATTCATGAGAAAAACAGAAACACAAGTGGACTAAAAGAAACCTTTTAATCAACTCTCGGTGATAAAAGGTACAAAACCGGAAAGCATGGCCTAAGAGTTCTGTTGCCATGGTAGCAGTGAAGTAGCAGTGAAGTAAATATTGACCGGAAGTAATAAACTAGAAAAGATCACAATGATATGGTTATAATATCTAGGGGATACTCAAAAAAAGGTATATTTGGACTTCTTTGTATAATTATGGTTAAGTCAGTGAGAAAAAACTGAAAGGCAATTTTGAAAGTACAGATTCAGGTGCAGAAGAAGCATTATGCTCCCACACTGGATGATGATGATGATGACGATGACTTTATTTAAATTCTGATGAAAATGAGGCTTGTTAGGCCTCTAGCAATAGAGATGCTAATATACCGAGGAAAAATATATGAATATAAATTACAGAGTTTAAAAATAATATAAGCCTAAATATATTAAATAATGGGATTCTGATTATGACTGGGTCAGTGAGGTTGGAGTTGAGTGAAGACATCACAGATAAAGCAATTGAAAAACTGCTAGAAGAGACAGGTGGTGAGAATTAAGACACCTCTACTTGATGTGGTCAAATATTATATCTTATTAACCAAGTGCGAGGGCCGTACTGGGAGAATATCGGCCTGAGGTCTTGACAGTACAGATCAAGCGCAGCAAGGTCTGTACAAAAAAGATCAAGGGCCGATATTCTTCCAGTACGGTCCCGAGCAAGCTTGGTTAATAAGAGATTTATTATACAACTGAAGTTCAAAGGGATACAAGCTAAGTGTGGTATCATTCGGGACCATATGGGACAGTGCCCGGTCCAATACTGAGAGAATATTGGCCGGCAATAGAGCATTTTGATTGGTTGATTTTAGTTATTAGCCCTCTGACTGCCCAAGTCGTGTAATAAACTGTTAAATTGAAAGACTGAACATTTCTATTGTCACATCTATTTTCTTAGTAAGTGTCGCCCTAAAATAATAGCTACATTTGAGGCATGAAAATTAGTTATCACACACCCCTGGGAGCCATAGTCCAGCTGACCACTGCCAACTGACTCTTTAATATCTCAAACCAATACAGCCTAGCATTATACGTAATGTAGGCAACATACAGTATTATTAAAAAACAGTTACAAGCTTAGTAAGACTCTTTGCTGACAGTCTTAATAAACAATATATAACCAACAGAGTGTATGTTATCAACTCCAACAAAGGGTTGGGTTGGAACTGGGGCTCAAAAATACACATCAGCAATGGCGGACAGCAAAACAGTAACTGATAAAATATACCAAGCATGTGACTCAAAAACAAACCCTCGCGCCCAGGCCAGAGAGGTGTGTGAGAAAACATTTTCCACTTATTTCATTCCTCAGCCAGTGGAAAATACAACACAAGCATGTAGTGCTATAATTTTTTTAGTTACCTATGGTATATAAATTGCAGTGCCTGAGTTTCTGTTGGTCATAATCTGGTTTTGTCTCTTTTAAAATGTTAACTAATTGTCTCTTGTTAGGTGTCAACATTTGAAATGGCAGGGATGAGAATGAGTGGCAGCCCCTCAATGGATTTGTTGACTGACTTGGGGCGGAAATGCAAAACTGTTAAAGCACTTGTAGTATGGTTGAAAAAAATTAAAAATGCTCAAGCCCTGGACATCTTAGAATATGAAGGTAATATAACCACAAAACATGAGTGGATGAGTGACAATTAATAAACAACTGATAAAAAATCCAGAAATGAATGAACAAGTGAAGGGTTTAATGAGCAAATGAATTAAGAGGAATGAATGAATGAAAATACAAATAAATGAAAACTAAATGAATGAATGAGCAAATGAAACAAACTATCACATGAACAAATGCACGAATATATAAATGAACAAAAAAAACATGTACATGTTTGCAGATATAAAAGATGTAAAGAAAGAAGGAAAAAGTTACTTGACAGGAATACAATTCACTCTTGTATGCAGACTTGATCTTTAACCTCTGACTACTCCAAACGAAAGCGAATTTGTGACAATAATGTAGTAATTTTTTAGTCAGTTTGCGTGATGATGTAGCTTAAAAATAAAACAAATAAACTGGATATAGATAAAAATAAAATCTGCAATATAAAAATGAAATCTGCAATGGGCTGCTAAGCAGAAAGTACTTAACAACCTGACAAATTGTTCTCAATGCAGAGGAGGTGAATATCCAGGAACATCCGTCATCACGGCCAGTTTGTGCTGGTGCAAGTGTGACCTTCAAATGCAAAGCTACAGGTTACCCTTCCCCAGAATATTTGTGGGTCAAGGATGGTGTTGAGGTTCCTGATGGATTAAATGAAGAACTAACATTAGATTGTGTTAGACCGGAAGATAGTGGAAAATATAAGTGCATCGTGTCCAATCGATTGAATATGGAGGAAAGTCGTGAAGTGGAGTTACAAGTCCATCCATCACCTGGTATGTCTGTGATGATTGTTACAACCCCTAACTTAGAACTACAGCTGACTTCTCCCTAGCTTTTAGTAAGAACTTCAATTACACTCCTCGTGAGAATAAGGGTCCTGATCATTTTTGATGAACATATGGGCAGTATGCCTGTTTGTAAAATATACTGAATGGTACCTTCATCATGAGTTTGTCAACATTTAGTGAGGATGGCAAAGGATTTCTACATGATGCATATCATGGCTTGGCCAAAATTAATATGTTACACATTAATTTTACCCAAGAGCAAGTGCAATCATTGAGGAGTGATTTGCCTCCTAAAATAGATGCGAAAACCATAAGATTTCCCAAGACCTTGTACATAAGAAGAGATATCTGTCTACAAATGTTTTCCTTTTATATACACGATGGATGGCTTTTTCTAAAATTCATGAGTAATACCAGATCAGGACCCCCCCTTTGCTAACCTCCTTAAATGTTAAATGTACTCTAGATAGAAATTTCAATTACGTGATTGTACATGAATGCTAATATCCTGCACTTTTTACCTTCTGAAGTAAATGGTTATACTGGACAAGAACAAACTCCACAAGGTCAGTCTCAAATCTTGAACAATCAATTTTTTTGAGGACAGATAGGGGGTTTCATTACATTATTTAAATGGGAGGAAGGGAGGGATGGGTCAAACCTTAGGGGAATAGGCAGGTGAAAAATCAAAACTAAGTACTGGTTAGTACTTAGTGAGGTAAGCAATGTTATGTCCCATAGAAAGGTAGTCAGCTACTGACTCATTTGTATCAACCAACTTAAGACTGATAAAAGCTCTTGATTTTTAAACAGACTCTCTTTGTCAGCTTCAAATAGGAAATGTATGGAGAACAGAAGGGAGAATATGCACGTTGATGTTAGGGTTAAGTGTAATACTGATGAGATATATGTTACCATAGATTGCATTTAAGCTTACTGTTGTTATTATACATTTTATGTTTTGCCGTTGTTATTTTAAATTTGAAATATTTCACTGGAATAGTTAGTTTGACCTATGATTGGTCCAGGTGTTTCTTTTCCTTTTGTTATTCAAACTTTCTTTTTTTTAGGAATTAGCATATATATACATATATATATATACCAGTGTATTTTGTTTTCTCTCTCTGTTGTTGTAACGGTTTATTTGGATGCGAGCAGAATAAAAAAAAGCAGAAGTTTGTTTTAATCGTGTAAAACTTCACTTACCACTTTCCCAAACTTAAACACCAAAGTCATTAAGTCAGGTTCATTTTTCTCCAGGAAAGTATCCTCCTGAAATCACACGTCAACCACAGTCCTGCATTGTACTTGTTGGTATGGAATTCAGCCAGGTCATTGAGGTGAAGGAAGGACCAGTGAAATACCAGTGGTATAAAGATGGCTTTATGCTTGTGGGGCAGACAAGAGCAGAGTTAACTTTCCAGCCATTCCATTATCGACATGAAGGCAACTATTGTTGTAGGGTGGAAAACAGTGCTGGTGATGCCCTCAGTAACACAGCATTGTTACAAGCAGGTAGGTCATACTTACTCATACTTTCATCGATATGAAGCTTGTGAAATCTTCATAATTATCTGCTCTTTCTCAGTATATCTGTTCTTATAACCTATGGAAAATTTCTCTTGAAATGAATCTTGAATCTATTTTAAACAGTCACTTCCAGTGTAGTGTAATAAGGTGGTTTTTGATAAAAAAAAAAAAAAAAAGAAAAAAAAAAAAGAACCCTTGTCTGTCCGCTCACAGGCAAAGTATTGTTTTGGCCCAGGTATCTCAAGCTACTTGATCAACAGCTGTCTATCTCTTCAATCTTTGATAAGTACACACACAAAGAATTGAAAGTAATCAATTAACTGGAAAAAAATCACAGGGTAAACATTCCATGTTCTTTTGTTGTAAGATTTTCTTATTAATACTTTCAAAAGCTTTTATTTTGCAATACCCTATACTTAAAAAGTGCATAAATTGATAATTAAGTTAATGATTTTGAGGATTGAATTAACTCTTTTGTTATCTGTATTTGCTTTTAATAACTTCCAGGAAGGCCAGATGATCTACATAGAGCTCAAGCTGGTATGATTTTAAGCTAATTATTTTTATTACTTATTGGGATTTGTGTCATAATTTTAATTAACAATCCAGTGGAGACCTCCTTGCGTAACTGACCTATTCTCACCTATCAGCAATTGCAATACACCCATTTGTGAGAAGTTTTCATTTAATCTTCTCTGTGAGTTTAGGCCACACTTTTGTTTCCAAGAACTGAAACCCAATGACCAAAAAATGATCAAACAAACAAAAACAGTGTCTGTATAGTGTAAGCAACAGCCATCATCCCATGGTGGAATTAGACCTGACAGGTATATATATATGTGCACAAAAGGCAGATTCTGATTGGTTTATTGATCCTCTAACAATGAAAAAAGTTTAGAGAAAAAATTATACTCAGTAGCAGTGGTGGAGAAGGAAAGTGTCCCTCATGCTAGACAATCACGTGCACATGGCATGTGTTTCGGGGCCATTCAGGTTTCGATGTGACTTATACCACATACCACCCAGACAGTTAAATTACGATATATGTAAAGAAAATTACATATGAATCAACTGATATTATTTTTGGCCATTCATAACTTGACAGTGATTCCCAGATCTGCTGAGCTCACACAGAAAGGTGAGTAAACTATTTAGTTTTATGCGTGTTAAAAAATATTTACATATAGTTAATATGCAGTTATGTTTTATTTGATGGTCGTATTGGTGTGTCACAGGTATATTGTGACAGGCTATAACCGTCCTTTTCTTTCCTTTGCAAGTGCTCAAAAGCAACACTTTTTCGACAAAATTATTAATTAATATTATATTGTTACAATATAAATGTTTTTGTATGTATACAATATGATAAATACAATTATGATTAAGTGACTTTTCTTAGTTTCCTTTCATTTTTAACAAATGCAGTGACTTAGCAGTACTGTGCAATTTTAATGCTGAAAGAAAAAACAAATAGAAATAGATGTTGATGATCATTGTGGTTCTATAATTAGATAAATGAATGTTGAGTCATTTGTCTTGTTTGACTTCCTTCAGCTGCTGACAAAATCGCCTTAGTCATCGGCAACCGTGACTATGTGCGCTTACCTCTCAATGAAAGCCCATTGGTTCACACTTGCAATGATGCAAAGATGCTTGCCTCAATTTTACGTACTCGTGAAATGGGTTTCAAGGTCATCTCTCTCATGAACCTGACACTAGAGGAGATGTATCAAGCACTCAATATTTTTTACAGTCTTCTTGGAAGTGGGGTGTATGGATTGGTTTACTTTGCTGGTCATGGTTTTGAAGAAGGAGGGCAAAACTACCTGGTCCCTGTTGATTCAGTTGGGGATTGGGTACCAGAGGAAGCTGTTTGTGCTCAGCGAATTTTGGATGAAATGAACAGATACCACACAGAGTTGATAGTGTTTCTTTTGGACATCTGCCGCAAGAGGTGAGTTCACAGCTAAGTCATAGCCTGTTACTCATAGCAGAAACTTCTAGCTTTGTGTAATGCATTTTCACTGCATTTTCTCATAAATTAAAACACTTAGTCAACAGTCAATAGTATTGGAGGATACCGTAGGTAGCAACTGAGCTACAGATCATCTCAAGGTACCTCTCAATGCAACACTCTCAAAGCAAATAAAGAAGGAAAGTAATTAGAGGGAAAGCATATTGCAATACCCCCACAAATCTCCCTCAAGCCTCGCTTTGAACTTAGTGGATACTGCAAAGTTCGAAAGGTAGAGGTTAAGAGAGCAATTTTTACTGGCCCTCAAGGCTGAGGAGGCTGGGGTTTACTCAACTGTAGTTGTAGTAGCATTACCCAAGTTAACAGAGTGTATATGTTGTAGTTCAATTTTATCCTTGGTTCAAATTTTGTTTCCCTTTTTGTCGAGCACTAATTTATCATGATTTCTTCAATCAGTGTGAGTATTGTTACATATCTGTAACTCTCTAAATCTTACTACTGAGTAAGTTTGCATTTTTACACCTTGTGATACCTGTTCTCAAAACCTCTAAACCTTGTTTGCTGCAGCATTGGTACTTAAAATAAAGAAACCAATGAGGGAACAACCTTTGGTGGTTGGAATAATGGGCAAAATAAAAAATACCGTGATGAAAGAACTCCAAAAAACACTGCGCTATAAATACTGGCATGTAAACTTTTGACCTTGTCACCTGACAACGACTAGCAGTATAGCAGTACTGTTGAAATGTTGCAGTCAATAAAATAATGTTCATAGCCTGACTCTACATTGTGAGTCAAATGATTAAACATTCAGTTATCAGCAAAAACACGATGAACATCAACATTTCTTATAACATTCATGGGGCACTTGAGTTCTAAGAACAGTGAAGAGGTCCATGGTAGTAGAATTTCCATGTTGATCCCCTTTGCTTGATACCAGTTGCATATAAAAGCCCATCTTGAGCTAATGATATTGTCTTGAAACTATGATCATTGTTTATCTTTAGGGCAAATGCTGAGAAAAATTTTGTCATGAAGAGTTATGAATTTCCATACAATGCACAGGCAGTAATGGGGTTTGCCACGTAAGTAAAACCAATCTACCATAGAATACAGAACTCTCTTGACTGAGATTTGTAATTATAATTATGGTACAGTATTTGCCAGTATTAAATAATTGTATTTATGGTATAGTTCTTTATGGGGTTTAATTGGCCAGAGTCAGAAGGTATAGACAGCGACCAATGCAGTAAAATGCTGTAATTACATGATTAAGCCACTGGTCATTATAGTCTCCATCAGTATTTAGGGCACCATTTGATTATTGTTGTAAAACCAGAACCAATCACTGGCAGTGGCTATTCAGAAGAAAGGAAAATACTTGTACCGGTGTTTCAAAAGGAAGTTTATGTCCAAGAATGTAGATATCAGGGATTTGCTAGAGAAGGCGGACAAGGCACTCTACACAAAAAGATCAAAGGACCCCGAATGCCCGTTTTTCCAGTTTTTACCTAAGAAAAAGAACATGAGGTACAATCTTAAAAATACGTCAGTCTCTGTCCCTAGAATCCACACTGAAAGGTTTAAGAATGTTTTTGGTAATGGGATAATTTTTAAATAATTATTATGACATGTAATAGTTTCCCTTGTGAGTTTATGTCGTAACTTAGGATATGTGATTTTATCTTAAGAAATAAAGATTATGTTATGTTATGTTATGTTTGTAAGAGCCAATGAGAACTCAAAGTAAAAAACAAAAAACTGTCTGAAGCGGGATTGACCAATCATAGTGCGAAGTAAAGGAAAACCAATGCAATCTTGAATTACTTTCAACACTCAATTAATATTTGCTCTATTTTGCTCTCTGTAATTTTCATTATTTACATTACCATAACCTATCTAAGAAATGGATATGCTCGTACTGTTAGATTAATGGTGTCCCTTTTCGATCAACAGATGTCCTCAGTCTGAGGCTTATGAGAGAAGACAAGACCCCAATGGCATGTACATGAAACACCTGCTAAAGTATGTCATGAATGACTGTAAAGTTGAGGATGTCTTGCATCAAGTGGCAGCAGGTAAGAGCTGAAATTAAACTACATGAATGATAGGTATATGTAACGTGACAGGCAACTTCCAAACTTTGTCAGATACTTTGGACGGTCAAAGGAAAAATAGACAGCAAGCAATTTCAAAGGAACTTATAAAGCTCATTAATAATGAATGTTGAGGCATGTACTCAAAATCTGTTTTTTTTTTTTTTCCAGTTCCACCTCTAATACCACCCTAGCTACCACTGAAGCTCGTAGTTTTAAATTATAGTCATTTTGAGCAATATACTTTTCAGATGTTAGTGCAGAGGTAGAGAGAAATGAGTTGGTGGAGAGACAACGTCCACAGTTTCACTCTACCACCACAAGACAATACAGCTTGCGTGACCCAATTCACAAAGACAAATTGTACTCTGAAAGAGAGAAGTCGTGGCTTGAAATACACCGTAAGTTTATATTAATCAATGATGAAAGTGAAATGTTAACAGGCCAGAGCACTTCTGACCTGGATGGCTGTCCCATACACTGTAGCTGTTGAATTCAATTTAAAAATGAATTTCAGGTCAGATTTTGAAACAGTTTGATTTGTGTTCTGGCTGCTATGTTCTGGGTACATCTCTATGGTCCTTAAACAAACAAAACCAAGTAAATTGTTTTTAACAAATCCAGGATGCAGCTTATCTGTTACAACTTGTGGAAAACACACTGCAAATTTGCGTTTAATTTAATAACATTATTCTCTGAAAATTTGTCTTTTTCACAAACTGACAAGAACTTCACAAAAAGAAACAAGTATAGAAGTTGATCATTGCTTTCGCAAGTTTAGTGCTTCCTAAATGCTGTTAGCTTTGTTTATAGGCATATTAAGTTTATATTTCTTGCTGTTGAGGGGTGCTAAAATTTTTTTCTTTAATACTTTAGACCTTTTACCGTAACTGGTTTAAGGTTGCTGTAGCTTTTACAAGCAGATAAATGTTATCATTTTACACTAGAATCATTTTAAACTACAGCAAATGTTTTAGATAATAAATTTTGGATGGAAATGTAAGGCAATATAAAACTAAAGTTTTCATAATTTGTAAGTGTCTGGTAGTAGATCTTCCACAGTTCTGTGTGATTGTCACACATGGTTTGACACCATGTAAATGGAGAGAATGTTTTTAGGCATATGTTAATATTGATACTTTGATTGTTTCATTCTGTATACTTAGAGCTATATTCTCTTTCTCAAATGTGTACAGATCTCCCTCAAAAGCGAGAGATAGAATGTGAAGCTGGCATAAAGATAGAAATCCGTTTTGAACACCAGAACTGGCTGTCAAATGCAATTGTTTTGTGCCTAAGGGTTATTGACTTAGGAGAGGCAAAATTCTGTGATGTGGGCTTGATGCTGGAGTGTCTTCCACAGGTAAAGTTCAACATTTCAATTTTCTCTTTGTTGTCATTGTACGCAACTTTTGTTTATTAATGTATTGATCGAGTTGAATGATTAAGAAGCTAAGTTATCATTAAATTTTTTATATTTTACTGAAGCCCAGGGAGAACTAAGGACCAGCTCCTATTTCCATTATATTCATAGCATATATATGGAGGCATCACTTTGTGCCCACTACTATGTATCACAAAATCTACTCAAAAATTTTTTTGACAACTCTGTTTTAAATAATCTTTTCCTTTTTTTCATCAACTCCCATTTGAGTCCATTTCTGATTATTTTTTGGCATTTTGGGTACATGAAGATAGTATCTTTCAGCAATGCCATCCTTACTAAGAGTATTGAACTCTTTTGTTTGTCAGTTTGTTCCAATCAAATATTCTGTATTTTAACTAATAAGATTTTCAAACAAAATTTCTTTTCACTTTGCTTACTGTTGCTCCTCAAAATTTTATGGCAATAAAACGCATGACATTTATAATTATTGCTTTGTTTTATGATGTAATGCATTGCTGTATTGACCCTCACTAGTGGATTTCAGTGAAAAAATTGCAGAAATTGAAGGTTGTAATTAAATTAGGGCTTCAATTTTGTTTGAACACAGTCATGCCTCTTAGATACCACTTGGGAACTACTCCTGAATAAGGTGAAAATTAAAAGCACATGTTGGGATAAGATTAATGATCAATTTGTTAGTATCCTAATTGTCATTCTGCTATCAATTTTAATCTAAATCATAAATTATTTGTGAACAATGATTTTCAGGATTGCCAGAGTCTTTACTTCCATCCGACCACAACCAACATAATGAGACAGGTTGTTCAGGTAGGAGATCCGAATGAAAGTTCTAATACAGGTGGCCTTTATCAACATACTGGTGGATATATTAGTGAACATGCATGGTTGATTAATATGTTAGTTAGTAGTTGTTTGATAAAATTGAAGCCTGTTGCTAGCAGTCTGTGGCTGCTTTTAAGACCTCTAGGTACAACCTTATCTTTTTTAATTTTCAACTCCAAATATTGTGTTTGTATTATTCCGATTCATTCACTCAACTCTAGTTATCAGCTCATATTCTGAGTCACCGTACATGGAAATGCTGTGCACCAACTGTTGCAGTGCTGAAAAAAGACCTCTTACGTCCATGTATTCAGACTGTGAGGGGGCTTAAATGTTTAGTTTTTTTCCCAATTAATGGCCTGTTATGGAAGATTAGTTATCAAAACTCCTATTTTACTACCATAATCTGAGTTCTCAAGCTAATTAATTACAGCAAGTCTCACTCTTTCTATTCAGCCTACCGACACGGTTGCTCGAAGCCTGCCTCAACAGCACAATGGACCCTCTCAAAGTCTTGCTGTGGAAAAGATTAGTGAAATGTACAACATTCAGAGACTCAAGGTGAATTACAGTGTAATTAGTTTTACCATCATCTTGTATTAAAACTTGCCGTTTCAATTGATAAAATTTGACTTTAATTATTGGTCTCTTTCCTTTCCCTTGTGAGATATCTGCAAACTTACACCCCAAATCCTAGGTCGTATTCTTTGTGGGTGTTCCACGCTGAAGAAAATAATGTTAAAAGAACCCAACCTGAGAACCAGCAGGGAAAGGACTCAAGTCTGAAAAAACTAGTCCAGATTGAGTCTTATTGATTGATGTGAAGTAATTATGTTGGTTGGCTTATGAATATTTTACAAAATACTGTAGTCTTGAATTCTGTTTTCTAGGATGTAACTATATATGTTAATGATCCATTTGACATAAGGAATTTTAATGCAGTGTTTATTTATTGAATTCTGTTTGATCTCAAAAATGATTCTTTTCTTACCAACAGGAACCACTGGCTTTGACATTGATTATTAAGTACATCCTTAACGGATCTGGTGACGAACGAACAAAGCACAGGGTCGAGGTGTTCAATTTCAAAGAATTTGGAATTGCAGCAGCATTTTACAAGGCTAATTATCAAAAGGAGTGAAGTGTCAGATGTTAAATAATCCTGCTTTTCACTGAATTGGTACAGTGAGGACATTACTTTTTAAGTGTAGATAGCATTAGATATTGTGGTCGAAATTTTTACTCAAGACAGTTCACCCCACAATATTGCAAAAAATACTTGAGCCATACTCAAAACTAGTCGAATAAAATTTTAACCCCTTGAAACATTTGAGGTAACATATTACTCACTTTAACTCTGCCCTCTCTTAAATGTTGTCCCAGATTTAATGTCAAGGATGGGAGAAAAAAATTGAGACAATGGCTGTGCAGCATAATTATACTAAAGCATTCCAGAGAGAAAAGAAACAGAGTACAGATTGTCACTTTAAACACCATAGCTAGAAAGTTTTACCCAAAGAGTGATGCATTTGAGCTCTACCCATTTCATAATTTAGGGATAAGTGTTATCAGTGATTTAAGGTTTATGATTTGGAATAGCCCTCAAGAAAATCTGGTACCCAAATGCTAAACATTAAAGTAAGTAGATGTAGTGTCAGAGGATTGTATGATTGATTTAAAATGGCATTTTCTTTTGGAATTATGTGCCATTGTGGGGATATTTAAACTAGAAAATTCAAAATTTGAAAACCAGATAACTGTTGATGTCATTCACTTAACCCAGTCGTACATCAACCTTAATGTATATTCTTTGTCAATATGAGGCAGTTAGAAAGATTGTGTTATTAATCCCCAGATAGAGAATGTGGGGAGAAAGTAGGGGTTAGGGAACCTTCTCCAGAATGTTTCTTACATTTTTTTTTTTTTACTTAATTAATATCACTTTTTTGCAACAAATTAGACAGGGAGCATATGTACCCAATTATTCTCTTTAGGAGAGAAGGTAAGGTAAAGTCTGTTTTCGGGCCTAGTGGCCCATTGGGCCGGTGCTTAACTCCGGTTTCTGTAGCATAAAGCGACTAGGAGTATTTCTACTCCCCCCTGGATGTGATGCCAGTCCATTGCAGGGTTACCCCCAGCATTAAATTGCCGGTACCCATTTAAACACCTGGGTGAAGAGAGGCGCTGTGAGAGTAAAGTGTCTTCATTACCTGAGAACACAACACAATGTCCCAGCCGGGGCTCGAACCCGAACCACTCAATCCGGAGTGGAGCGCACCAACCATGAGGCCACCATCACTTTTTTGCAACAAAGTAGGCAGGGAGCATATGTACCCAATTATTCTCTTTAGGAGGGAGCAAGGAACAAATTTATGGACTGATCCAGTCTAATCAACGTGTAAGATTTACATCTGAGCTGGTTTCAAGTGGCCAGTGAAGTCACCCACAAGAAAGTTGTGTACTAGAAACAGAAAATTAAACCAAAATCATTCAATATGATTTTCAAGTATGAAGTGATGTATGCAATGATTAATTTAGTGCTCTAGATTTGCTACCTTAAACAATAAGTAAATGCTAAGTAAGAGGACAATCAACACAGAATGCTTTATATCATAAGCATAAATTCTATTCATACAAGAATGCATTGTGCAACTTTCACTGTCATAGAAGTCCATAGTAGCAGTAGCAGTGAGTCATACGACTTGGGTTAGAATACATGATAGAAAACAAAATTGTTGATTTTATTAAAGGTACCATCAAAAAGAAAGATATCTAAACCTGTGAAGGGATTTCATAATAGAATAGTAACCAGCCAATCTATAATAATAAAATAAGTCCAATCATCTTAGATTGAAGCATTGCTCTCATCAATTATTCTTTCTACCTACTTAAATACAATTATATAGCAATTATAAAAGTGTAGCTCAAGTGCAATAGGATTTAATATTTGATCTGTTGTAAGTAGTTGCAGGTTGATACGAAGTATGCATAATGTGGCCATAGTAGTGTTGGTACTGTGTTGTAATAAAATTACTCAGACAAGAGTTTGACAGGTCAAGCTGTATGATTCAACATCAATCCAGGCAACCCATGGGCATTTGACTACTGTCCATGCACTGGGGTGGGGAACTTGAACCTTACCTGAGTGGGATGGGGAATTTGAACCTTTGGAATACATTAAAGGGGAGTCAACTCTAGAAAGAAAATGCCATAGAAGAATATTATTTTCAAATTGTAGAATTATGCTTTCAAGTGAAAAACCAAACTGTGGCACCAAAAACTCTACAGCATTGGTGGATCACACAAAGAATCATTCAATAAAAACTTGTGCTTGGATAGGGCATTTGAATGCAGCTTTTGCTCAGAGGGGAATTTGAAAAAAACCAATCATCAAAAATTTCAAATGCCTGGGGGGTTGGATGGTGAAGCTTCAAGTTGATAGACGCATTAGATTCATACAACGTTGTTGCTAATGTGATCAGCTGCTGTATTTGTTTATTTAAACAAAAAGATTTGACCCTTTAACCTCCAATGATTGCCAACTAAAGAAGCTCTTTATCATTAAACAATTTCTTGTTATCAATATCATAGAAAATGTTTATACAACAGTATAGATAAAATAATGCATATTGATTAATGGTAGGTAGGTAATGGTAAAAAGGCAAGTTTCTTGTTTTGTTTTTACTTTGGTTTCAAAACCTGACCTAGAACTGTTGTTGTGGTTCTAGTAAATGAAATACCCAAACTTGGGCAAATTAACAAATCCCTGATTTATACGGCAATCAATTTGAAGCTTCAACTTCTGCCTCAGGCAACTCCCCCTTTCCGCCACCATCGTATTTCACCTATTTTTTAAGACTGGTTTGTTCAAATTCCTGCCCCCTCTCTCCTTGGAACACATTGATCAAGCTTTAATAAAACCTAGACCTATTCTTCTAAGCCATTTGCTAGCAAAAGTGAACTGACTACCTTTAACATCTCCATATTTAAAGAAAGACCAATTTTGTTCTGCCAGAAAGACTGGGCACTTCTGGTTCAATTTCCCCGGTGCAGCCAGCCCATAGGTTGCTGGGAGGGGT